AAAAAAAAAAAAGTTTGTTGTGTCTCCTCCTCACCCTGCCAACGACAGTAACATCTTTAACTCCGATTTTTTTGAGTGCAGCAGCAACTTCAACACCAATAAAAGAAGAGCCTAATACGACATGTTTTATATTTTCTTTTGTATTTATATCTTTATATAAAGAAGTTTTTATTTTATTTAGGTCTTCTATAGAACGTAAATAAAATACACCAGCAGCATCACTGCCACTGACACCCGATAGCTCACGCACACGGCTCCCTGTACACAGCAACAGCTGCACACAACACACAAACACCAGCAGCACCAGCAGCAGCAGCAGCAGCAGCAGCAGCAGCAGCAGCAGCAGCAGCAGCAGAAGGAGGAGGAGGAGGAGGATCGTTATGGAAAAGGGGATAATACATCAAAGGGAGAGACAAAGAAACAGACTACAGCAGCAGCAGTACCAACAGCAGCAGGCAGAACAGCAGCAGCAACAAGCAAAACAGCAGCAACAGCAACAGCAGCAGCAGCAACAACGGCCGCAGCAACAGCAGCAGCAACAGCAGCAGCAACAGCAGCAACAGCAGCAGCAGCAGCAGCAGCAGCAGGTGCGTGCCTTGTCATAGTGTAGAGTCCCCTTGCTTGTCTTCACCGTCTGGTTGTCTGCTTCTATCTTCTGCACTGTCTCCCCCAGCCGCAGCTCCACCTTCAGAGTATCCGTTAAAAACTCAACAGGACGCAGCAGCACTGCAGCAGCAGCAACAGCAGCAGCAGCAGCAGCAGCAACAGCAGCAGCAGCAGCAGCAGCAGCAGCAGCAGCAAGCGGGGACTGACGGACAGTAAGTTAAAAGTCTCCAGGCACCAACACAGTTGAATATGCGTTGCAGCTCTACCTTATGCACTGACAGCTGGTAGCTAGCTAGCTAGCCAGCTGACAAGCTACCAGGCTAGCTAGCTAGCTAGCCAGCTGACAAGCTACCTGGCTAGCTAGCTAGCTGGCTAGCTAGCTAGCTAGCTGGTTAGCTAGCTAGCTAGCTAGCTAGCTAGCTAGGGAGAGACGACTGACTGTTTTGGGGCTCGCACTTCAAATTTTTGCTGAGAAGAATTCTATCGTAGGGGGGAAACTCCTCACGAGATATCATCACCAGGCGGCCTGCAGCAGCAGCAGCAGCAGCAGCAGCAGCAGCAGCAGCAGCAGCAACAGCAGCAGCAGCAACAGCACAGGGCAAGGGATGCATATCAACACGAACAAAAGGGGCCTCGAAGGAGACAAAAACACAAAAAAGGAGACAGAAAAAGGAAACAAAAAAGAGACAGAAGAGACAAACAAAGACAAGAGGAGAAGGAAAGAAGGAGACAGAAAGAAGGAGACAAAAATACAAAAAGAGAGACAGAAAAAGGAGACAAAAAAGAGACAGAAATGATACAGAAAGGAGACAGAAAGGAGGAGACAGAAAGGAGACAGAAAGGAGACAAAAAAGGAGACAAAAAGAGGACAGAAAGGAGACAGAAAGGAGACAAAAAGGAGACAAAAAGGAGACAAAAAGGAGACAAAAAGGAGACAGAAAGGAGACAGAAAGGAGACAGAAAGGAGACAGAAAGGAGACAGTTTGTGTTTTGTTTTTGTCTCCTCTCCCTACCCTTAAAGCCCAGGGCCCTGAGCTCCTCAACTGCAGCAAGAGCAGCAGGGCCCCCACCAACAACAACAAATGTTTTATCTTTGAAAGCCTGAAAACAAAACAAAATAAATCATCTGCTGCTGCTGCTGCTGCTGCTGCTGCTGCTTCTGCTGCTGCTGGTGCTGCTGCTGGTGTTGCTGTTGGTAGTGGCGGTGGTGCTGCTGCTGCAGTTCTTGCTGCTGCTGCTGTTGCTGCTGCTGCTGTTCTCGATGTGTTTGCTGCTGCTACTGTTGCTACTGCTGCTGCAGCGTTGTCGCTGCTGCTGCTGCTCCTGCAGCAGCAGCAGCAGAGGCAGCAGAAGCAACAGAGAGAGTTCAGGGAAACCGTGTGTCCATAGTTGCAA